GGCATTGCTTAAGCGAAAGTCGCTGTGGAGGCATGTGGCCAGGTGCCGGCTTTCACAGAAAGATGCCCAGGCTAAACCAGGTAGAAGTAGGGTCCAGTCCCTCTGCTCCCTAGCCCAGCCTGTACCGGAGGGCATCAGCAAAAAGCTGTGGTCTTTAATTTCGGCAATGCATCAGGATGAGGTCACGGGTGTTGTCAAAGCAGAAAAGGGGATTCTGAGACTCGGAGAGCACCTGTACTGAAAAACACGGGCATGATAAGACAAAGCATGATTACATTAGGCAGAAAATGAGAGAAGTCGGTAGGTTAATTAACGAAGCAAAAACCGCAGGGAAACTGAAAACAATTAAGGATTTCTTTATTCCTTCCAACTTTAACCATGTGATTGATGCAGTCAGGTCTGTGGCTGGATATGATGAGGAAACAAATCAATACAAGACTCCATCCTTGGCCCTCAAACTCGGCCATAGCCTCAGAAAGCTAGCAGATATTCTTGAATGTGACTCAAAAATGGAGCATTGTGTTGATGAACTATTTATTAAAAACCTCCAACGAAGCCGGCTGCTTTTTGAGAAGAGGTGGGACGTCTGTGTTTCTTCTGCTGCCCTACAGACCCTCCGGCAAGCCAAGTGGAACACTCCGGACCTGCTCCCTCTGACTGAGGACGTTAGAGCCATGCATGCACATATTGAGGTATGTCGACCTGAATATGTGCAAACCCTAATAAGTGAGCCAACGTCTAAGCATTGGTCTAAACTGGCAGTTTTGACTCTTTGTGAGGTCATCATTTTCAATCGAAGAAGGGAAGGTGAGGTTTCAAAGATGCCACTGACAGCCTTTACCTTAAGAAGTAAGACTGGGATCCATTCTGACATTGCTCTGGGACTGTCCCAACTTGAGAAAAAGCTGTGTCAGCATTTTCAACGCATTGAAATTAAAGGGAAAAGAAGTCGGAAAGTGCCGGTTCTTTTGACTCCTGAAATGATTGCTTCGATGGAGGTGCTGGTGGAGAACAGAAGGGCCTGTTCCATCTCTGACCATAACCCATACTTCTTTTCCCGCCCGGGCGCAGACACCCACATCAGGGGATCAGACTCCCTACGCCAGGTAGCCAAAGAATGTGGTGCGGTGCATCCAGAGATGCTATCCTCAACCAAACTTAGAAAGCACATAGCTACTATGTCTACAGTTCACAATATGAAAGAGAATGAGATGGACATACTTGCCAACTTCCTCGGCCATGACATTCGCATCCACAGGCAATATTACAGACTACCAGAGGGGACACTGGAGCTGGCCAAAATCAGCAAAGTGTTGATGGCCATGGAGCAGGGAAGAGTGACGGAATTCGAAGGAAAGAGCCTCGACCAGATACAAATTGAGCCTGAAGGTAATTCTTGATATTATTAAAATATGTATGATTTTTTTCCCCTAAAGGCCACTTGTATTTTTATTTTCTGTGCGACAGGGAGAGCAGTAGAGATCCTCTCACAAACGGACGGGCTAAAAGAAACTTCAAGCGGAGAACCTTCAACCATTCATCCAGATGCACCCCATGGTAGTGGCAGTGCCCCTTCTGGTAAGTGTACCAGGTGGGGGATTACAGCCAGGCTGCTTGGTCCTCACCCTGGGAGTGTATATTGCTAATATATTTTTATTTCTCTCCCTAGAACGTGTAAGAAAGCCATGGTCTGCATCTGAGGTGAAGGCTGTGGAGAAGACCATGACACCTTTCATACAGACTGGAAAGGTCCCTGGGAAGTCTCACTGCCTGGCCTGCATTAATGCCTCACCAGATGACCTTAGACATCGGACATGGAGTGGCATTAAATTCTATGTCAAAAATAGAATCACTGCAATTCGAAAACAAAATCTAAAATAAAATTCCTTTAAAATAGTTGTTTGGTTTCTATTGACTGTTTTGTATTACTTAAAGTCTTGGTAAAAAAAGATTATGTCTATGGGTCCCATTCTGAACGGCCCTGTCAAAGGGACCCACCAGGTAACAAAAACGTGTATGTGTGTGTGTGTGTGTGTGTGTGTGTGTGTAAGGGTCAGCGGGACAGTGGGTATATCGGCCCACTATAATTGCATTTGAAAAGAGCCTGTTTCGTTTGTCACAGCTGAGCATTGATTTTCAAGTGATGAGGCGACGTTAGAGCAGGGAGTAAATGCACTTTTGTACAGAATGGCCCCTTCTATGAATGAAGCCGTGGAGAGAAAGATAGAAAGCTGGGGAGAGTTTTAGTTGAGATAAGAACCAAATAAATTACTTCTGTATAGACGTTGTTTAAAGAAGACATCTTTATGCATAGTTTTTGGCCATTGGTGACCTGTAAGCCCCTATGTTACCACCAGAAGGAGGGCTCGTTTTTGTTGTGTGTGTTTTTTTTTATGTTTTATTTTTTTCTTCAAATGTGTAGATTACCAGTTGCAAACACAGGAACATGATTTGATTTGAGAAATTTCTAAAACAAATAGATAGACAATACTTTTCTTTTAAAAAGAGGAAAGCTGTTGTATAAACAATGACATCATACTATCACAGGACTGAGACCAGAAGTTTTAGACAGAAGGGAAACATGTTTGCGCCAGAGGTTCCTCATACCAGTATTAGTGTGGATGGGTCTAAAAATAACTCCATGTCTGTTTTAGATTAGGCACAATATTGTGGAAGTTTATAATATGTGTCCTTTAAGCATATCAAAGTGTTTTATGCATTTTAAAAAAAAAAAAAACGTATTTTCTCCCATATTTGGCTTTGGTTAGCACAATATCTACTTACTGTGATAATGGAACAGGATTCAGAAGCATTCAGGCCATTTCAAAGGACACATTATGGAAAAAACACTGCCACAAACAACCCCCCACCCCATCTGTCATAAGTTCTGTTTTCAAACGCTGTAACAAATTCTCAGACTGTGGCATCATGGGCAGTATTTATGGACATAGGTCATCTGCCCCTTATGGACCAAAGCTAATGTGTTTTCTACCATTGCATTTCTTGGGTTTTAACTGTTTGATTCTCTGATCTGTGTCAGAAAATTCAATGGTTTAGGGTACAAGAATTAATCGATTTGAATGGGAGTCATGATCTTTACGACCTGCGTGACTTGATTACATACCCACCATGTTAGCTGTTTTTTAGATAAGCAGAATGTAATAGACCCTCTCCTACCACTAGACTATATGACAAATCCATTGAACATGTTAACACACACTCGCACAAACAAAAAAATGTTATATTGCAAAAACATACAATTTTAATTCAACGAAAAAGGTTACACTAATGTAACAATGGACTTATAAAATGTCACGCCTTTGTTTGTTTTTGATTTTTGATCATCACGGTGTACAGCTTGTAAAAAACTCTAGATCTCAGAAGATTAGAAGACTGTGAAAAGGGAAGGAACTGACGGCTCAAAGTGTCACTGTCATCAGATAATTCATCCAGAACACCTGTAAAGAGCGCTGAGACTTAAAATGGTCTGAGTCTGGGTCAGTGGAGGTCACCGTCGTGGGGGAGACTGCGGACCTGACAGTTGAGCAGTAAACCACTATTAACTCTCTGCATAAGGAGAGACAGCCTCAAAAGCTAATAGTTTCAGAGGCTGAATGTTCTAAAAATAATGTATCCAACCACAGTCATAGTAACACAAAACAAAATCCATTTTATACATAAGAAATAACTTGATGCCAAAGTAAAAAACATCAGGATAAAGGTTGGGGACAGTCGTATTTTGTCGAGGCATGCTTCGTGGGAACACTAGGAGCTATAGCCCATGGTTAACATGTGGGTCATGTGACAAAAGTTATAAAACTCCACACAAGTCACACTTCCCACTAAACATCCGACGTCCACTCAACCTCCAGATCACGTCAATATCGCGTCGGTCGGTCGTGACCTTTTATTTACGTCCAAACGACGTCTGTGCAAGGTGCGCATCTGGACTTAAAACAATGACCTCCCATATACGTGGATATGACGTTCAATCCCGACCTCCCTTAGACGTCGAAAACAGGTCATCGGCTGACCGACGCAGTACGTCTTGATCTAGCAATAGAATATATAGGCTGTGAAGCGAACTCAGTGTACCTGACGGTAGTGTAGTGGTTAAGCAAATGTGTGCAGCCTTGGTTACGTGAGTTCGAGCCCACGTGTGTGTATTATTATCTTTACATATTTGTTTTGATTTTTAACGAACAATTTCTTTCTGTTTGGTTAAAGACTAATAAACACTCAACATAGGATTACGTAGTGGCTAATAATAAAACTTGTGAATGTATGCATTTGTTGTGCTAACAATCTCAAGTTTGCAAATAAGGGGTGAGCACTTGAGATTGTATGCAAATGCATGGGTTCACAAGTTTTATTATTAGCCACTACATAATCTTATGTTGAGTGTTTATTCGTTTTTAACCAAACAGAAAAATTGTTCGCTAAAAAGTAAAAAGTCAAAAGTTTTCCGAAGGGGATTTGAACCTGCGTCGTTGGGACTGAAGTCTCATTACGCAACCGCTACACCACGGCCAGGCATTTATCCAGACTACTGTGACAAAATAATACATAACACCCTAAACAACCGACGCACACTTATGCGCCGCGCGAGTATAACGGCTTTACAGCCTGACACGTGAGTCGCTCGGTCGAGGACCTGTTTTCCACGTCTAAACGACGTAAGGTGTGCATCTGGACGTAAAGCAATGTCTTCCCAGACGTTGATATGACGTTGAATCTGTACCTCTGTCGCTGCCCTGCTTTATTTAGCTACTTGGAATCACCCTCTCTAGTAAGTACACAGTCTGCACAGTTTTTAGATATAGATGTATCATTTCCACATTGAAAAGAGTTGGAGACAGAAAGTAAGTTGTTTTCTCACGTATACGTGGATTTTGTTAAGTATATTTTTTTATATTATCTGTATTTTGAATTGCCAGTGCATGAATCTATTGAGAGTGAGGAGCTGACGTCATAGCACAGAGCCCCTCCCCGTCTCCGCCATGTTGGTAGGATCCCAGCGGCAAACACTTGTTGTTGTTAACTCGGTAGCAAAGGAGGTCGTCGCTATTTCTGTTTTACCATGCCTGGAGCTCATTGCTGTGTGAAAAACTGCTCCAGTACCTCACACAATAAGAAAGGAAAACGTAGGAACAACGGTTTACAATTTTTTAGGCTAACAAAATGGATACAACATCAGGGAGCGCAAGTGTCTGACCTGACGAAGAGACACCGGATGGCTTGGTTGGCTGTAATAAGAAGAAAGGACCTTACTTTCGATCTCACCCCCCAGTCGATGAGAGTGTGTTCTCTGCATTTTCACTCGGGTACTTCCTAAAATGTCTTTATGTTGTTTTTTTAAAGTTAAGAAGTGTAGGTTACCTAGCTGTTAATGTTGCAAACACTGAAGTGCATCTTAAGTTAGCTGCCTAGCTAACTATCTAACAAACTGTTGCCTCTATGAAAATGCTTAATGGCCAACCATTAATGTTAACTAAGAATATTTAAGTTTCTGCTCATTATCCTACCTTGTTGGTGGAATATGGGCACTCAAAGTGCGTTTGTCTCTGTCTCTTATGTTCTCTAAACCAGTGGTGCCCAAACTTTTTTTTTGTCTTGTGTTGCCACTACCCCCTGAGCCCTTTTATGAAACCATGAATAGCGTTACCTTCTTGTTTAATATTTCTTTAGATTCCAGATTGTTTAATAATCTTATTAATCTGACGTAAGTAAACCATTATATGAGATTGCTAAAAATAGTTGAGATTCTGTTCATGACATTATGCTACCTTGTTGCCAGTTTAAAGCATTGACTACATAGATTATTCTGTTCTAGGTAAACCATCATATGAGATGTTGGAGAATCACCCTGACTGGACACCATCCTTGCGGTTAGGCCACAATAATGTTAAAGAAACAGATGGAGCGCGATATCAGCGGCAAGTAAAGCGCAGTACCCAGCATCTGGAGCAGTCATCACTCCCAGCCCAAGCCCAGCAGCCTCCATCGCCGGCCCAAGCCCAGCAGCCTCCATCACCAGCCCAAGCCCAGCAGCCTCCATCGCCAGCCCAAGCCCAGCAGCCTCCATCGCCAGCCCAAGCCCAGCACCTCCATCGCCAGCCCAAGCCCAGCAGCCTCCATCGCCAGCCCAAGCCCAGCAGCCCCCATCGCCGGCCCAGCAGCTGCCTCAAGGAAGGATGAGGAAGCTCTCACCCTTCCAGCTTGTCCTATTGACTGTAATGCGCCTCAGATTAGACCTTCCATCTCAGAATTCACGTTGAGAGGGTGATTGGTGTTGTGCGCAACAAATTCAAATTCTTACATTCAACTGTACCTGTGCATATGCTTCTCAAATGTGAGGGTGAAAACCTAATGCCTTTAGATAAGATTGTCACTGTTTGCTGTGCCTTAACGAACATGTGCAAAAGTGTTGTTTGAGTGCCTTGTTCATAACTTATGAACCAACCAGAACCCCTCATGTCATCTGGATCCGAGTCCAGAGTCAGAACCAGACACGGAGAAGCTGCATTCAGCTTCTATGCTCCACATGTCTGGAACAAACTCCCAGAAAGCCTCAGATCAGCTGAAACACTCAGTTTGTTTACATCCAGGTTAAAGACCCACCTGTTCTCAGCTGCTTTTGAATATTTTTTATTCTAATGTACAAATCTGCACGGCTTCTTTTAAGCTGGAATTACTTATCTGTTATCTTTTTCTTATGATTTTTTGTTTTTAATTTTAAATCATGCTTTTTATTCTGTAGTACAACAGTGTTTTCACCGCCTGGAGGCTTGTAGATGGCCAAGTCCTGCACCCAACCACAGCAGAAAGCCTCGTAACTCTCCAGTGACTTGTGACTTCTAAACTCCTGCATTGTATAATAACTAACACCGAAAACAAGGTAATTCACTATATCCATGTACGTGCACGGAGGCAAAAAGTCAAGGTATTTTTGCCACTCCGCTGCAGGAAGCTCGTATGGGTCTACCTGTTGTATGTCTGAGAGCTTCTCCAAATAACGTTGTTTTGCTTTTCCCTGTACGGTCCATTTCCTTTCGCCTTCACTTTCTCCATTAACTGTCTTGCTAGTGTTGTAATCGTAGATGTATCTACTGCCAAAATAATAAACGGCCGCTCAAGTTAAAGACCTCTGGAGCGTTAGCATAGACTGTAGCTATATATTGAGCGTTAGTGGCGTTGCCCCTGGCAACCGATAGAGGATCCTATCAACATGGCCGACCGTATTAGACCCCGCCCAAATTATCACGTGACTCCTCATTCTCAATAATAATAACGGCTGGCACTGCTCAGCTGAAAGGGAGACACCTTTTTTTGTTTTTAAGTTAAAGTTTAAAATATGATATTGTTTTTCATATTTCAAACTATTTTTAACACATTAGAATTCTTAGGTTAGACTGTCCAACAAACTATGTGTTAAAAAAGGTTAAGATTCTTGAGTTTTAAAATAATAATTCAATTCTAAAATGTAAAGTTACTGTATATTTCACAATGGTTTATAAACTGCAAAAAGACAACAGTACTTAGTAAACTAAGTTTAAAAACAGGGAGATCAGCTTTAATATTTGGGACACTCCCATCATTTAGACACCTGTGATGTCATCAGTTGGAGTTGAGTTCAGGTGTGGGACCATGTGGGACCATGTGGGACCATAGGAGCACACAGATGTTACCTGCTGCAGAAAGAGAGTTTAATGTTCATGTATTGCTTTGTTTAATAAATGGATTTAATGTCTTCCCAGGTCTTCAATGTCAGAGACTTTCACTTCTTCTCACTGTGGCTGTTCAAATGAGCCACTACAGTCGTTATTTTTGTTATTGTTAGCTGCAAATATTAAATATCCATTCATCTGCTGGTAGCAAGCTAACTAGCGCTTGCAACTCTATTCAATTTCTTACTTTTTCTTATAAACTTTAAAACCAGCCATATGATAATTAAAATACATTTACCTTTGCTAATGCAGTCAATTTTTTGTGAAATCCATAGAGTATAATTTCATGATTGTTGCAATAACTAATGTTCTATGTGTATTCCTAATGTGTCATGTGTGTTTGAGTCTTACAGGTGTCAGACTGTGTTGAAGGTGTTCAAAGGTAAGAATCACACTCTCACACATTGATTGTTCTTCTGTATTATTATGTTGTTTTTAGAATAAACCATTATTTGGTGTATTCTCTTTGAAAACATCTATCTTTTTCTCAGATTGTTCAGCAACTCACTCATGATGAGGGAAAAGAGCAACAAGGGGAAAATGCCCCCTCGGAAATGCGACATGTGTAGAGTAATACAGGGTAAGTAGCTTTCAGGGCTCATTTGAAACAAATGCACATTTGCAATTGTTTTTTACATGGAATTACTCCAATGACCAAAGCCTTATCCCAAGTTTCTCAGACGGAGTGTCTTCCAGTGTCTCGAGCTAGTGCAGTGCCAAGGTTTGTATCACATGGTGATGGATCGAGTGGTTTGAGGCATTAATAGAAAGTTATGTGTTGTTATATCACTTTGCCACATTATGTTGAAACTAAACATGTTCCACACATTTTCAGGTGCTGTGCTTGGACCTTGTGATGAGAGACTGAAGACCAAGAGAGGACACATGTTGGAACATCAACATTCAATAAATGCATTCTTCTGCCTTTCAGATTGTGTTTTTACATCTGGGGAACCTAGAGTGTAGCTTGTGCCTGTTTTAATACTGATCCAAACATAGGCGCTACAATCATGTTTTTTTACTTTGGCATGAACTGTTCAGTACAGTAGTCTTCATAACACTGTGCCCTGTGTGGATTAACTTGTACTTTGATGTAGAGAAACATGATTTTTAATGCAGCTCCATTTGCAATAATGACTGATATCCTTCTACTACAGTTGTTCTAATGATTTTTGAATGCTGTGTTTATCGTTTATTGCCCAGAGTCAGAACTAAACATGATATAGCTGCATTTCAGATTCACAAGGCTAAAATCTGGAACGGTCTTCCTGGAAATGTGAGACAGGCTTCTTCTTTGACAATGTTAAAATCCAGGTTTAAAACACTTCTGTTTCTGCTTCAACTGAGAGATTTTTTGAGAGATTTTATTTGTATCTTTTTAATTTACTGTCAATATTTATAATTGTAATGCCTTGTTTGATTGTTTCTATCTTTTGTTCAGTGCTTTGAGTTTCCTTTTGTTTTGACTGTGCTATACAAATAAACTTGCCTTGCCTATTGCAAAAAGTATGTCTCGACTATTAAGTCATTCTACAGAGGTCAATAGGACTGTAAATGGACGTGATATAAACGTCAATATTTTGGTCATATAAGACGTCGAGAGGACGTCGGACCCGACTGGTTCTGTACCACATTACAACCTTGAATGAACGTCCAGATGACGTTGGAATTACGTTGTTTTGACATCTGCTTGCTTAGTGGGAACGACTGAAAACGAACGTCATATAAACGTCAATATTTTGGTCATATGAGACGTTGATAGGACGTCAGACCCGACCGGTTCCGTACCACATTCAAACCTTGAATTGACGTGCCATCAACGTAACATTTGGAGGTTGAGGTGACGTCGGGAAACGACGTCGAGAAAACTTTCATTCTGCACCCACCAGTGACCTATATTCTACGTCGGACAACGACGTTCAAATTACGTTGATTCAACGTCGGCTTGCTTAGTGGGTTGGCATAAAAACTATAGTTAGTAACTATGGTAACTGGTAACTATTGTAAACATAAAAAGTCAGATTCTACTTAGTTTACGAGCCAATTTTCAAAACCACATGCAACAAAAAAAACACATTCAACATTTTGTAGTAGAGAATCAAACTATGGTCTAGAAAAGGACCAACTAGAATCGTCACTAAGACTGTAAGATTTTTTTGTGAAGTTGTGGTTGAAGTTATTTTGGAAATACTTGCTCCATGGAAATCAAGGCGTACATAGCGATGTATGCTTAAAATCTGCTCAAGTGGGCCGTTTTCATGGAAATACAGGATGGCTATATTTCCATGCCACGTGAAGTCTGACACCGACCTGCAGCTGATGAACTCGGGAAGTGCACGCAGGAGCTTGTATGCTTATGCAGGCTGGTCACTTCTGAGTGTGCCTCAGAATGCAGCCTGACCTTTGGACACAGCATTAAAACTCACCTACACAAGGTCTTTGCTTCTCAACAGTTTGGTTCATCCACTAGTTTCTATATGCAAGTATTTTTGGACCTCTTGTCAAATCAGCTTTTTCAGCCAGAACAGTGAAAGAAGTTCAATTGATTGAGACAGTCTAAATATGGAGCTTGTAGAATCACTGTTGAAAGGTATTCCAGGATCGGATCTACATCGCTCTGTCCTCCAGGCGTACGGCCAGCCCATCACACCGTGTTGGGCCTTCCATACCCCCCAACCAACTGGACTGGATCATGTAACTGATGCCATCGCGTGGTTTTCTGTGAACATATGCAATGGACGAAGCCTTTACCCGATCCTTCTCCATCAGGTGCTCAAGGTCTGGCAAAAAACAAATAAAACACACTTTTTTAATAATAATAATAATGGATAATAATTAATTGGTTTTAAATAGGTCTTTTTAAGGTTTTACTTTCATCCATGCCACAGTGCTGATAAATGCTGTAGCCACGCTGCCCTAGGACACACTGACAGAAGCGAGGAACCAGATCTTGTGACGTTGACCCCCTTTGACCACCACCAACCATTCAAATCACACACAGCAGATGATTTTATGCATGTGGGTGAAGTGTCTTGCCTAAGGGGAACAACAACAGGCTGCGGCACTATACCAGCCTGCCCGCACATTGCTGTGAGCCGCATGCTGCATACTTCTAAATGGCCCAAACTCTCTCGTCTAACATAGCCAGATTAATAAGACAAAGGCTCTCCATCGTACCCTGTCCTTGGGAGGAACAACGCAGAGGCTAGAAGTAGCGACGGGCCCCAACGTTACCATGCCTTGCCGTAATTTCCAGGCTTGTTTCTACCTAAACAGTTTGTGCTCCTTAAACAGGTTTGGACTACCACTTGCACGGCTGCTCTGCCAGCACACACTCGCTTTATGATTTCCGCAACCAATTCAATGTGCTCTTGCTTAACATTATCTTGAACCCACGTGATTTTGGGTTCTGACCAATTAGTGGCCAGGGTTGAACACAATTGCCCATTTTAAATGGTACCGCATTTGTTCGACAGCCGTGGTGGCATCAGGTTAATTTGCTTTATTTAATTCTTTTGGGACCATTTATACGGAGTGCCACCTGCTCCGCGGCAGCGCTCCCCATAGCTGTGGAGAAAGTTCACCCGACCACCAGTCCACCACGATCTGGTCAGCCCTTCCCGGCTTGAGATGACTGGAAATGTCAACAAAGCGAGGGACTTCACGTGAGCGTCTTCACTCAGCTTCAGCAGTACCAGGATCTGAGGCCTGGTAGAAACAAAGATCGTGTATCATGAAACCTTTATGAGAAAATCCCTAGAACAAGATATTCAACTGGGTCATCAAAGGGCCATGCTGGCTGGTCTGCTCCTGCCTTGGTTGGAGCAGCCTTTTCCATCTGAGGAGGCTTGCGGTCCTTCGGAGTGGCAGCCCTCTGCTCAGCGACTTTTTATGAATTCTGTGGTAGCCTTGCCATACACTCGCTGCCGCTGTGCTGGGCCCGTGCAGCACAGAGCAGGACAGGAGTAGACTCGAACAAGCTGGTGGGGAGGCGCCAGCCTCCCAATGGCTGCCCCCATGGGTACTCTGTGGAGGTGAGGGACAAGAGGGTGCTTTGTCAAAGTCACCTCATCTGGAAAAACACCTCCCACCCACTGCACAGGACTGTAGAGGGGCTGGGAGAGCTCTCTCAGTGGAAGGCGACTGAGACACCTCTCAGGCAAGAAGGAGTCGCTACCGCAGCGCTTTATCCCCACACTTTCAGACTGCTACAAAACTGACAACTGTCCTTGCACTAGGACTGAAAAAATAGAAAAACCCTGCAAAAAAAACCTTTTGCCACTTTTCTTAATTGCTACTTTTATTGTACATACATATAATTGTGCATTAAACAGTTTACACCACTTCTTTCTTTTTCTTCTTGAGTGATTATATCCATGCCAGATGTGACATGTCATTTCTCTCTGCTGTGAGACTCTACTAATGTCCATTTATCGTAACTCATTGACTGCCAGCCGTTTTCGATGATTTCACTGATTTTCAAGACCCACAGATATTGTGTGCTATACAATGTGAAATATAAACCAGATTCTGAAAGTCTGGACTGTCTACTTTCATCAGCCAAAATAAGTTGGTTCTAGCAGTTTTGTTCTCCTGTAATCCCCAGTCGAATAGAGGTAAGTTTGACGGGAAATTCACCCGTCAATAACACCAATGGCAGTCAATGAGTTACTACTTGCAGGCCACACCAGTCCTTTGAGGCACCTGATTACCCTGATCTAGTCTGGCAAACGATAGTGGGTTCAGGAGAAAATACCTCCCCATAAAAAACAATAATATAATCTGGATCTAGCGTGCAAATTTAAGGGCATGATATACATAACTTTTTAAAGATTAAATGTATCAACTATCAATCATAAACATTGACAACTCTGAAACACAGTTGGACCAGACCAGGACCAGACAGAGCAGACTAGATTCAACCATTCGCGAGAGTGTCCCGATTTCGATTTTGTGCCTCTGATTGTTAAACTTCAAAATCCTATCCTGAGTCCTATCGAATGCTTTTTATCATGGTATTGTATATTATAATACACATCTTTTAACAAGTAAACAATATTTTTTGTGTATTGACCCAACAAGGAATTGTCTCAAAATGATTTTTATTTTTTTATTTTAAGTATTATTTACCATTAAAGTGATTGTCGGAGTATTGCCCGAAAAGAGAGCGGTACAAAAACGACCCAAGCTCCCTCCTCCTTCCTTTCTGATTGGTCTACACCTTTCTTTTCCGTAAACAATCAACACAATTAATGTAATCAGAGAAACATTACTACATATACATTATTGATACAATGCATAGAGGTTTTAGAATATCTGTTTTATGACCAAATAACTGCTTTTAATGGGGAAAAAAAAAGCGATCGTTGGTAAATCCGAAAGTAACTTAACATTGATTGAAAATTTTTGACACTCTGCCAGATGATCTGATTATGGATACAGGTTCAGTATTTAAATGGGTAATGGGTAATTAATTTTATTATATAAAAATTGTCCCTCACCTATGGCCTCCGCGGGCGGTTATCCCTCTCTAAGCTTGGGTCTCTACCAGAGGCTGGGAGCTTGAGGGTTCTGCGCAGTATCTTTGCTGTTCCTAGCACTGCACATTCTGGACCGAGATGTCCGAGGTTGTTCCGGGGACTCCGCTTTAACCACTTCATCTAGCTTCGGGGTCACTGCCCCGAGTGCACCGTTCACCACGGGCACGTAACAGTTTTCACCTTTACCCTCCAAGGCCCTCTCCAGTCCTATTCTGAGACCTTGGGTATTTTCAAGCTTTTCAATGACATATTCTTTTTTCCGGATGTTACCATTCGCTTGGAATGCCACGTCCAAACCACCACGGCTGTCCTATGCCACTTTGTCTACCACCACAATGTCGGTTGTTCGGCCTTCCCACTCGGTCCGGTTCTGTTTCCTGCGAAGTCCTCCACAGGATCTTCCGCACGTCATTCTCCACACCTTTGAGGCAGTTTCCCACTTAGACCTTGGGTTTCCAGCCCATACTTGCACAGATGTTTCTGTACACTATGCCAGCCACTTGGTTATGGCGTTCCATGTAGGCTTCCTGCCAGCATCTTGCACCTGCCAGTTATGTGTTGATCGTTCTCAGGTGCCTCTTTGCACACCGACACCTTGGGTCTTGTTGGTGTGGCTATATCTGGGGCCTCTATCGCTCTGGGTGCTCAGAGGCCTGCTCCTGTGCAGCAACTGATGAGTGCCTCTGTTGCTGTCCTGTTGGCCAGCCCTTTCTAGCAATTGGGCCCCCACCCCCCCCCCCCCCCCCCCCCCCCCCCCCCCCCCCCCCCCCCCCCCCCCCCCCCCCCCCCCGGCTAGGACTTCTTGAGATCAGCCACATTCTGTATGCTCGGAGGTACATGCCGTGTAGGCTTGTTTACCCAGATGGGCTCTCTCCAGCACCTCCTCATTCTAGCCACTGCTGAGGACATTCACTGAGTACGTATCCGTTTTGGCCATCTCCATGATGTAGTTATGGAGTTTCGATGTTTCGTCCTGGACAGTGGCTCTCACACTCACTAGTCCTCGGCCTCTTCTTTACGGCCATTACGTACAGTCTCAAGGTGGTCGATATATATATATTATTTATACTATATATATAATTATACTCTATTATTTTATATTATTATACTATTATATCCTATATTATAGCACTTGAGACTTTACGTAAGCCGTAAAAGCTAGGAGGCGAGGACTAGTGAGTGTGAGAGCCACTGTCCAGGACGAATACATCCAAACTCATAGACTACATCATGGAGCATGGCCAAAAAACGGTTGAAGTACTCAGTGAATGTCCTAAGGCGCAGAGTGGCGAGATGAGGGAAGGTGAGGAGGACGAGGCCCCATCATGGGAGAACAAGCCCATACACGGCAAGTGTACCAACGGAGCAAACAGAAGTGGCTGATTCCAGGAAGTCCTACCCACATGGCTAGAAAGGGCCTGGCTTGACAGACAGCACAGAGGCACCTCATCATGGCATGCACAGGAGCAGGGCCCTGAGCACTGTAGCGATGAGGCCCGATATACACACCAGACAAGACCCCAATGGTGTCGGTTGTGCAAAGAGGCACCTGAGACGATCCAATCACATACAACTGCAGGGTGCGAAGATGCCTGGGCAGGGTAATGGCCTACTGGAACGCCATAACATGGGGCTGCATAGTGTACAGAAGAACAAATCGTGCGAGTATGGGCTGGAAACCCATGGTATATGTGGGAAACTCCTCCAAAGGTGGTGGGAGAATGAGCGTGCGAAGATCCTGTGGGCACTTCCAGATACAGACGACCGGATATGGTAATGGCGAACCAACCTGACATTGTGGTGGTAGACAAAGGGCAGAGGGACAGCCGTGGTGGTGGACGTGGCAAATTACAGCGGATGGGTAAACATCCGGAAAAAAGAACATGAAAAGCTTTTGAGAAATACCAAGGTCTCAGAGAGGAGCTGGAGAGGCCTGGAGGGTAAAGGTGAAAGTAGTGCCCGTGGTGATCGGTGCAACTCGGTGGCAGTGACCCCCGAGCTAGATGATGTGGTTTCAGCGGATATCACGGAACAACCTCGGACATCTCGGTCCAGAAATGTGCAGTGCCTAGCGAACAAGCAAAAGGTTACTGCGCAGAAACATCAAGCTCCCAGGCCTCTGGTAGAGGACCCAAGACTTAGAGAGGGATAACGCCAGCGGAGGGCCAAAGGTGAGTGGACAATTTTGATATATATAATTAATTACCCAATATACCAATTTATATACTGAACCTGTATCAATAATCAGATAATCTGACCAGTGTGTCCAAACAATGTTCAATCAATGTTACAGTTACCTTTGGATATTACCCCGACTCGCTCTATTTTTTCCCCATTCAATCAAAAATCATTATTTTTGTCATGAAAAATCAGATAATTCTGGAAAACCTCTTATGCATGTGTATCTAATAATGTATATGTATAATGTGGTTCACTGTTAACATTATTTGTTTGTTGATTGTTACGGAAAATGAAAGGTGTAGGACCATCAGAAAGGACGGAGGAGGGAGCTAGGCCTTTGGTCGTTTTTTGTAACCGCTTCTTTCTAGGCAAACTCCAGGACATCACTTTTAATGGTAAATAATACTTGAAATCAAAATAATAAAAAATACGATTTGAGTCAATTCCTTGTTGGGTTCATACACAAAAAATATTGTTTTACTTGTTTAAAAGATGTGTTTTATATAATATAACAATACCAATGATAAAAAGCATTCGATAGGGACTCAGGTTAGCGATTTTGATGTTTAACAAGCAGAGGCACAAAATCGAATATCGGAATCTCGCGAATGGTTTGAATCTGAGTTCTTGGTCATCTGGTCTGGTCCTGGTTCGGGGCTCCAACTGGTTTCAGAGTTCAAATGTTTTATGATTTATTAGTGATACATTTTATCTTTATAAAAAGAATGGCTATATACTGCTTTTATTTGCACGCTAGATCAGATTATATTTTTTGTTTTATGGGAGGTATTTTCTCTGAACCCACCTATCGTTTGCCAGTCTAGTCAGGGGTAATCAGTCCTCCAAAGGGACTGGTGTGGCTGCAGTATTTAAACTACATTGACTGCCATTTGGTGTATTTGTTCTGGTAGATTTCCGTCAAACTTACCTCTATTCGACTGGGGATTACAGGAGAACAAAAACAAGCTAGACAAACAAACTTATTTTTGTGATGAAAGTAGACAGTCAAGACTTTCAGAATCCTGGTTTCTATATTTACATTGTCCACTAGCACACAATATGCTGTGGGTTCTTGAAAATCAGTGAAGATCATCGAATACGGCTATTGCAGTCAATGAGTTAGATAAGATGGCACTTTATTGATCTCACACAGGAAGAAATTGACATGTCTCATCTGGCCATGGATATAATCACTCAAGGATACGAAAAAGGAAAAAGAAGTGTGTACAACAACATGTTAACATGCACAATATATTAGTGTACAATAAAAGTGACATTAGAAAAAAGTGGCAAAAGGTTTTTTTTGCAGGGTATTTTCTTTTTTTCCAGTCCTAGGTGCCTAAGGACAGTTGTCAGTTTGTTACAGTCTGCATGGAAAGTGTTGAGGGATCATAAAGGCCCCTTGCGGTAGCACTCCTTCTTGCTCTGAGGGTGTCTCGTCCTTCCACTGAGAGAGCTCCCCAGCCATTCTACGTCCCTGTGCAGTGAGGTGGGTGGTTGTTTTCCATGATTGGAGGTGACTTTGACTAAGCACCCTCTTGCTCCTCACCTCCACAGAGTCCAGGGGCAGCCCAGAGTGGAGCTGGCCTCTCCCCACCAGCTTGGTGAGTCTACTCCTGTTCTGCTCTGTGCTGCACGGGGGCCCCAGCCACCCCCCACGGGGCAGCGTAGTGTATGCAGAGGCTACACAGAAATCCATAAAGTCCTGAGCAGAGGCTGCGCAATCCGAAGGACCGGCCCAGCCTCCTCAGATGGAAAAAGGGAGTGCTCCAATCCAAGCAGGAGCAGACCCAGCCACTTGGCCCTTTGATGACCCAGTGAATATCTTTGTTTCTACGGTATGTTCTCATAACAGGTTTTCATGAACACGATCTTGTTTTCTTCCCAGGCCTCTAATCCTGGTACTGCTGAAGGCTGGATGAAGACGCTCACGTGAAGTCCCCTCGCTTGTTGACATTTGCCTGTCAGCCTCAAAGCCGGGAAGGGCCTGACCATCGTGGGGTATCTGTGGGTCGGGGGGCGAACTTTCTCCACAGCTATGGGGAGGACGCTGGGGCCCGCGGAGCCCCCCCCCACCCCCCCCCCCCCCCCCCGCACCCCCCCCCCCCCCCCCCCCCCCCCCCCCCCCACCCCCCCCCCGTTGCAACTCGTATGAAGGGTCAAAAGAACAATTAAATGAAAGCAATTACCTATAGCCACCACGGGGCTGTCGGCAAGCATGCGGTACATTTAAAATGGTTCAATTGTGTTCAACCCTGCCACTAATTGGCAGATACCCAAATCACGTTTGGGTTCAAGATATTTTTAGCAAGAAGCACATTGAATTGGTGCGGAAATCATAAATCGAGGTGTGGCTGCAGAGCAGAGTGCAAGTGTAGTTCCAAACTGTTTAGCGAGCACAAACTGTTTAGGAGAACAAAGCCTGGAAGTAGCGTCAAGGCCCATGGGTAACGGTGGGGCCCGTACGCTACTTCTAGCCTCTGATAGTTGTGCCTCCCCAAGGACACGTGGGACGAATGGGAAGGAGCCTTTGTCTTATAAAACTGGCCTATGGTTAGACGAGAGGAGTTTGGGGGGCCATGTAGAAGTAGGCACGCATGCGTTTTCACAGCAGGCGGGCAGTGTATAGTGCCCAACTGTTGTTGTGTCCTTAGGCAAGACACTCTCCACCCACATGGACTAAAATCGTCTGACTGTGTGGTATGTGTATGGTTGGTGGTGGTGCAAAGGGCTGTAAAGGCAAAGACTGGGTTGCCTCGCTTTGTATGGTGTGTCCTAGGGAGCTGTGGCTTACAGCAGCTTTATTCACCAATGTGCATGTGAGTGAAGTAAACCCTGAAAAGACCTATTTAAAACCATTTAATTTTATCATTATTATTATTATTAAAAAAAGTGTGTTTATTGTTTTTGCAGACCTTGAAGCACCTGATGGAGAAGGAGCGGGGGGTGGGTAAATGGGCTTGTCCAGGCATTGTGGCACAGACAACACGCGATGGCATCAGTTACATGACTCCAGTCCAGTGGTTTGGGGGGATGAGGCCCAAACGGTGGTGATGGGCTGGCCGCAACGCTGGAGACAGAGCGAGGATCCGCAATCCTGGAGACCTTCCTCAGTGCGTTGCACAGCTCCAGATTTAGGACTGGCTCAATCAATAGAACTTCTTTTTCACTTTTCTGGCTGAAAAAGCCTGATTTGAAAGAGGCCAAAATACATGCATATAGCAAACTAGTGATGGAACCAAAAATGTTGAAGCAAAGACCTTGTTAGGTGAGTTTTAATGCTGTGTCCAAATTCGGGTCTGCATTCTGAGGGACATCAGATAGTGACACAGCCTGCATAAGCATACACGAGCTTTGAAGTGCACTTCCAGTTCCCCAGCTGCTGGCGGTGTCAAGACTTTCACGTGGCAGAGATATATAGCACCTGTTATTTCCATGAAAACGGCCCACTTGGAGCAGATTTTAAAGCATACATACCGATGTACGCCTTCGATTTCCATGGAGCAAGTATTTCAAAATACAATTTCAAACCACCAACTTTCCAAAAATTCTTACAGTCCTAGTGGGACTGATTATATTGGTCCTTTCTAGACCATAGTTGATTTCGACTGACAAAGAATGTGGAAATGTGTTTTTCGTGTGCATGTGGTTTGAGAAATTGGCTGGTAACTAAGTAGAATCTGACTTTTTATGTTTACAATTAGTTACCAGTTTACCATAGTACTAACTATAGTTTTAGCTGCCATCCACACTATGTGAAACTATAGGCTCTTTGGATGTGGTGATGGTTGTTTCCTGAACGCAAACTACTGATCCAAAATAATATGATTAAAATTGAGTTCAATCCCCTTTACTGAAGCGGACCAGAAGGTAGATTTCTGCTTATAGTCCACTTTCAGTTTAAAAGCTGTTGCAAGGGCTTACTGTTTAAGTGCCCGCTCACTAACAACACGAACCCTGTATGCTTCCAGACACCGGTGCGGGTGACGACGGGGCAGCTCACCTCGCTCTCCTTGTCCCAAAACCATCTCACTCGTCCCCAGTTATCAGCCGAGCCGTGTGCGGAGGGTACATCGATGGCCTGTGGTGGATCGTTCAAGACGGGAGGGATGCTGATGCTGTGCCACTTTCTGCTTCGGACAACACAAGGTACGCACAGCAGACAGGACATGGACACGTAATGACAACTTTAAAAGTGACGCGTTATGAAAATTGACTTTCCAAGCTTACAAAAAAATAAACCCCACCCTTTCGGTCTAAAAGCCTATTTCTAAATCATTGTTTAATTGTATTTAGGATCCTTTATTTGGCCCTAAGTGGGGAAATTTCAGTGTTGCACTCCCCAGTTACAGAATTAGGAGTACACACCACATACAAAATTGTAATGTAAGAAAGCGTTAATTTACTATAGCGCCATTTTTACAGACCAAGGTCACCAAAGTGTCTTCTACATTGTTTCAGATAGTATTCCATTCTCTTCCACACGCCTGTGTTGAACAGAAGCCGAAAGACCAGAACCTCAAACCAACCTAAGAACAGTTTCTTTATTCCCCTTTTCATTTGGACTCAAGAACACTTCATAACCTTTCCCCCGCCCTTTACTTTCCTCTATAATTCCACTTTTACTGGCCTTTTTAAAAGCCACTTAATTTGGTACTTATATCGGAAATGTACTGTACTATTTTGTTTATATACATATATATTATTTAATTTAGTTTAAAGCAAGAAGGTGACGTGCTGCATGAGGGTACAAGTGTAGGCTAGAGGGCTTTAACTTAAACACACACGTGTCCTCTTCAAAGACAGGGCAATCTGCCAGATTTAGGGTTGTCAGAAAGAGAAAAAGTAAGTTGAGGGTCTCTGATGTAGTTGAAAAAATAAAAGTATTTTATTAAAATGGACTTGCTACGCGTTTAACCAAACGCTTTTGGTCAGCCAAGCATGTCAGCACACGTTACATTTGGAAATTTTTTTAGCCGGAAAACCGCCCCCACTGGTTTGCAGATTTTTGGTATTAAACAGAAATCTACTCTACTGGTTAGGGGGTATTAGCCTCTGGTTTGTACCCACACCTTAGTACAACATTACATTTCATAACTAAGGTCCTGGAGGCTGACTCCATTGTGCTTTCCCTGTTAACAAGTGGGACGGGGTTAACTCCTTTTGCAGATTGAAACGATTGGATTGAGTTTCCTACCGTACTTAGTGTAGTATTAGCTGATCCCAGTGAGCTCAGTGTGCCTTCTCTAGCACTACAGAGCATCTGACAGTATACAGGCACCACTCTTACCACTATCAATGAGGAACACTCAGATAAACCTGTGTACAGCATCTCCAGCAACATCTAATGTGCCTTGTTGTCAAAAATACCCTTTGACGGACGTGTTCAAAGTTGATGCAGAAGTAAGACAAAAGGTTCCAAGTTTAACATCTATATTTAATTTGTCTTTACAATCAGATACAGAAATTCCACAAGCGAGCTCCTATACTATGCTATTCTGTCTATGTCCCTCGCTGGCCCTCTGCTGACTGAGGCCAAGCCAAAGCATATCAGAAGATGTGCAGGAAGAAGGGGGCGGGTCGTATCAGGTCTTCTCCTCCGTCTCGCCAGACCTAAACAGAAATCATTCACACACACTACCCCTCCCTAATTCTATAGAAATATTACTTCCTTGAGATAAGGCAGGAGACTCTCAAGGCTGTCCTTCCAGATTCTGGGTCCATTTCCTTCTCCAAACAACGGAAAGGATTAGCAGAATCTAGGAATGCAGATCTTGGCCCCCCCCCCAGATTAACTATCATTAACTCATATTCTGCACTTTGGACTACAAAGAGAGAAGGGGAGACCAGGTCTTTTTGCTTAGGAAAACGAGACGGAGTTCAAATCAGGGTCAGTCAAATTCACATCTGCTTTTTAGTCTATATTTAATACAACAGCCTCCATGTTTAGCTACATGTCAACTATCTGTGACTGTGCTCATGAACCTGTAAGACGCTGATGCATGTTGACGCCCACAAACACAACTTTACAGCCTTCCTGATCAACTTGTGCCATTATCAGCAGCTGTTTTTACAGGTTACCAAACCAAAAGAGAGAAGTCCAGCTTCTGTAATGAAGCTCTTTCATACAGTAGCTCAGCACACATGCTAATGCTAATGCTAGCTCTTCACACAAACACGTGGCTCATCGAAACAGCCACACAACTGTTTACGTAGCGTCATGTTGGTGTATTGGATGAATGTTTTATTATCATTTCAGTGATTACCTCCAGGGAACAGGGGCAGAGAGTCCGGGGAGTGGGAGGGAGCCATCCTTCACAAGGTGTTGTTGGAAGAAGTTTTCAGACCTAGAAAAGTGTCAACAAACTGGTTTAGCAGGGTGTATTAGTGCCTCAGTGTTAATTCCACCGCTTTATCCTCAAACGCAAATGAGACAAAGAGAGTTAATAATTCCACACAAGCGTCAGAGACCAACAGCAAGTGATGTGGGCGAGCAGCAGTTTGAATACAAGTTACGTCTCCATGACAACGACATGTAATAGGTTATTCACAATGTTATTTTAAAAATAATACGTTCAGAATAAATAATAATTTACATAACCTTAATGCACAATAAAAATACAGTTTTAAAAGTTTGTTACAATGTTTCATGATTATTAATATTTTAGCAATCATTTTCATTTGGTAGATCTGCTAGTACGTCTTGGACTCTAGACCGACTGGTCATGCCTGCGTGCGCCACAAGAGGGATTTTCCACTGTTCATCTTCATTGCATTAAATTGCATGAAGAAAACAAGTCGATCACTCTCGTGATCTTTTTCTCCCTGTTTCATGTAAAGAGCACAGGATTGTTATTAATGTGTCAGTGTGTACTTTGTGAGGCGTTTTCCTGTTCAAAGATGTGTTTTATAAGCTAGTGATTTGTTTGTGTGCGTTTGAACTTAGAGACGTTTTGCCCAACCGTTCTTCAGCGCTCCTCAAAACAACGGAAATGCGGCACAAAATAGCGAAGAGTAAAAATGTAAATGCTGTTATTCTCGATTGCATTAAAGTCACGCATTAGGAAAACATGTGAATCACTCTCGTGATCTTTTTCTCCCTGTTTCAGGGGAGCAACAGATACACCCACAGGTTAGTAAATGTGATTATTGAATAATAAGCTAAGAAAGAGGAGGAGCCCGAAGAAGCTAACGGCTGGCTTTTACACCATGATTATGCCGCTATGGAGACTTCTTGCGCTAGACATGACAAGCGGCAACTTGACGATTCTCCACTAAACTCACCGCTCAAAGGAGCCCCGGGAAAAAGGGTTTAACCAAATGAATCCTCATTTGAAGCCATCGTGATAGCCAAAACCAACGTAACCACTCGTATTGAGAGACAAGAAAAAGCCCTAAAAGAGAATAGCGTCATCATTACCAGCCTGGCAAAGTCTCTGGTGTTTCATGCTGGGGAGCTGAAAGAGTGTAAAGCAAGGTGTCAGTGCTCGAGAAAAAAGTCACAACATTAGAAAAAGAAAATCAAGTTTTACATGACCACTGCACAGGAAAGTGACAGCAGATGCCGGGATAAGAGTCAAAGGACTGAAAGAAAGAGTGAAGTTCATCGCATCGGGAGGAAAGAAGAGAAGAGGACACGCCCGGTGATTATCCAGTTTGTGAAGAGACAACACCGTGATGGCATCTGGAGAATAACAAAGGAATCGGAGGTTTGTAAAGAGACGGAAGTCCACTTCACGGAGGACTTAACGGCGGCAGTTCGACAATCAAGAGAAATACTCTGGTCGAAGACACAAGAGGCAAGGAAAGCGGGCAAGTGATTATACTTCAGAGGTCCTTTCATAGACGGTCAACGGATCTAACAACGGCATGAACTTCAAGGTTTTTATGAGGAATGAGGTCTAAAAAACTAGAGGAAATGTTTCACTGTACACACACTTGTTCAAAAACTGTTTATTAACTGTTAATTAACTGTTGTTTCACTTTCTTTTGTTGTTGTTGTTGTTATGTTCACTCTTTAATCTGAATTATCTTTTCTTTCACTTAATGCAAGAAATCTGAGGGACGATGTAAAACGTAAAGCTATTTTTCTGTACTGCAAAGGACTTAAATCAAAACGTGTTTTTTTTTACAGGAGACCCACTTCTGAGAAGAGGATGAATCCTTTTGGAAGAACCAAATGGGGAGAGAAAATGTACTTTTCACATGGCACCAATCGCTCAGGGGGTGTGGCCATCTGTTCTCAAAGATTCCCTGATTGTGAATCTGACTCATTCATAATTTTGTTAAACATGAATGAATGAATGAATAGTTTATTTCAAGCATGAGCATGAAACAATAACAAAACTTAAATTCCTAAATGTTATGGTAAACAATATATATTAACACAGATTACATTCTTTTTTCTTTACAGTAATGCTCTATGCTTGAAAGGGAGTGAGAAGAAGTGAAATACTTGTGTACTCCCACCCCCAACTACAAAATAAAACTAAATACTGAACACTGTCCTGTACAACATAAAATTACATCAAAGTTTTACATTATACTCTATTAAACAGATAAGTGCATAAACACGTGCAAATGCACACATACACACAAACATGTATACAAATATACCTGAGTACACGTACATATATACATACACACATGCAGCCAGCGGAAGTTCAATTTGGTAGACGTCAGCCAAAGGTAACCCCTCCAGGCCGGTTCTCATCCCCAGCCTATCGCACGGCAAACGCCCCCTTCCAATCACCGGTCCGGCCAGGCAGCCGCTTAAAAGCGGAGGAACTCCCACTCTCGGCCTTCTCGAAGCCTTGCATGAATCGTTCTGGAGGAATCGCTTTTGTCTACTCACGCTTACTCCTGCGGTCCCTGCTGTCCTCTGTCTTGCTGCGTGTGGTCTGCTCCTCCTCCGCGTCGCTGCACCTGCTGCGGGTCTCGTGCTGTGGTCCGTGGGTCTTTGCCGCTCTCCTCCTTTGCGGGCTCTTTCTGCGGGTCCGCCGCTGCCCGTCTCGTCGGCCTGCTGCTGCATACGGCCGGTCTGGACCGGTGCGGTGGGAGCTGTGCGCATCCCTGCCTCCTCGTGCCGTACGGCGTGGTCCCGTTGTGTTGTCCCTTGTCTTCTGGCGTTGTGGGTAAGTATGAGATCTGCGGACGGTTTTTTCCCCTCGC